ATATACCAATTGCCTAGAGTTAATTGAACAGATGGTTGCTTTAGTAAAGAGTTACAAATAAATTTTTGGGAACACAGACAGTATAGAACCTTAAGTTCTACATGTCCCAACATTCACACAGGCCTTAGAGTATCCTTCCTTAAAGACCTCTAAAATAAGAACTCCATTTTTTCTCTTGATTTTTCAGAGTGGTTTATGCTGAATTGGAAATTATGGACCTTTCTTTATAGAGAAATTTAGAGGACATGTAAAATAAGCTGGCTTTTAAACATAATTTCATCGAATTTTGGAAAAGTACAGTCATTATAAAGTCATCTTCCTGGCCCAGATATAATAGTTCCACTCTACCTCTCAAGGTCAATCTCAATAAGTATCAAAGGAAGCATTACAAAACCCTCAAAGCAGAAGAGATCTGGAAAGAAGATTGGTTAAATTATACTATGAGAAGAAAAAGCAAAACCTTAACCCTGAAAAGTAACAGTCAACTTCAGTAAGAACAACTCTATGAAACCTATCAATTTCAACTTTGATTTGACTCAAAAAATAGGGAAATAACTTATATGACAACTTTTGTATGGTGTGTAATTTAAATCCAGATTTCAGATTTTAAAACGGAGAGTGTGGAAAATCAAGTCCACATCAAATATATATAGTCCAAAAACTCTAAATGAGCTCACAACAGGGTTATCAAAGCCAGTGATGAACAAAGTATCTTTTTGATTTATTTGACTTTGAATGGAGGCCCAGAAAGGTTCATCTACATGGCTAAAATGCCTGAAATTGTTAGTGTATATATGAAGAGCTCAGGATCAAATTTCATCATATCTGATATCTTGGCAATCTGTGTTCAGAATGGGTAAGCAGATTCCCAAAGGTTTAACCCAATTGTCCTGATTTACTTCTTTCATTGTCAACTCATACGTGTTGGAGCTTAATTCCTGGCTATGGTAGCATTTCACAACAGTGAAAACCCGAAGGGCACTCTCAGTAGCTTTGAATCCCTGAGGAAAGTCAGTACCTTGCCTCTGAAATTATAAGGATTTATTGATCCCTATTGGTCTGTGTCTTCCATTAATTTCAATGCAACTGCCTTGACATCCTCTTTCAGTTTCAGAGAAAACTATCTTCTTGGAATACATAGTTTTGTCCCATGTGCTTCTCTAATGTAAGTTACCCAAACTTTGGACTCTGCTTTTCTACCACACTCTACCTGATCCACTATAATTTCTGAAAACTTTTTAGATTCAGACCCAGCTTACTGGCTTATAACAACCTGACCCTCCTGGCCAAAGTGTATTACTAACCAAAACATATATAATCTAGCATATTTCTCCTCATGACCAAATGTTAACAAAGGTTTTGACCTCTTATTTCCTGTTTCTACTTATGAGAGACCACTTCTACTATCCTCTAGTCAGGATAAACATACATATAAAATATTCTATAAAAGTAAGGCCTGAAACCATAAAATTCCTAGAAGAAAACATAGTTAATAAACTACTTTACATCAACATAGTAATATCTATTTGGATATGTTCTCTCTAGCAAGACAAAAAAAAGCAAAATTAAACAAATGGTCTTCATCAAACTAAAAAGCTTCTGCACACCAAAGAAAACCATCAACAAAATAAAAAGACCACCTATGAAATGGGAAAATATATTTGCAGATGGTATATAAGTGGTTGATATAAAAAATACAAGGGACTCATACAACTCAATAACAAAAAAATAAACAATCCGATCAAAACATGGGCAGAGGACATGAAAAATCATTTCTCCAGAGAAGATATACAGAAGGGAAACAGATATATGAAAAGATAATCAATATCACTAGTCATCAGGGAAATGCAAATCCAAACCACAATGAGATACCACCTCATACCAGTCAGGTGGCTATTATCAAAAAGTCAACAAATAACATGTGTTGGTGAGGATGTGGAGAAAAGGGAACTCTTGTGCACTGTTGGTGGAACTGCAAATTGGTGCAGTCACTATGGAAAACAGTATGGAGCATCCTCAAAAAATTAAAAATAGATCTACCACAGGAACCAGCAATTCCACTTCTGGGTATTTATCCAAAGAAAACAAAAACACTAATTTGAAAACATATATGCACCTCTATGTTCATTGAATCATTATTTACAATACCTAAGATATGGAAGCAACCTAGATGTTCATTGATAGATGAATGGATAAGGAAGAAAAGAAGTGGTATATATATGTGTGTGTATATACATATATATTTCATTATATATTATATATATCTCATATATATAATGGAATATTACACAAAAATAAAAAAGAATGAAATTGCCATTTGTGACAGCATGAGTAGACTTAGAGGGTATTATGCTAAGTGAAATAAGTCAGACAGAGAAATACATATACCATATGATTTCACTTATATGTGAAATCTAAAACAAACAAAATAAGCAAAACAAAAACAGACTCATAGAAACAAAGACAAAGGGATGTTTACTAGAGTGGAGGGCATAAGGGGATGAGTGAAAAGAATGAAGGGGAATACAGTCAATAATATTGTGGTTAGTTTTCATGGCGACAGATGATTACTGGAATTATTGGGGTGATCATATTGTAAGGGATAAAAATGTTGAGCCACCCTATGGTACACCTGAAAGTAGTATAACTTATATAATATTGTATACCAAGTATACTTAAATTAAAAAATTATCTATATCAATTTCTAACACAATTGGGATACTGGGAATTTTATTGAGTAAGAATTCCAAAAGTGAATTTAGGGTTTACAAAATAACCACTATAACACAATGAATGTAAATTAGCTTTACTAACCACAATTTATGATGTACTCTAAAGTGGTATCTTGGTTATTAAACAATTGGCATTCCTAGGTGTTAATAACAGCTAACATTTATGGTGCTCTTATTCTGTGCCAGACACTGTGTTAAGTGTTTTTATATTCATTATCTCACTCAATCATTCCAATACCATATGAAGTAGATAATAATAAGGAGCACTGATAAAGTCTTATTTTTAAAAAAATCTGTTGCAAATCTCAAGTCTAAACTTGTCACCAAATAGTGATATTGAGTTTTTCAATATTTAAAGTTCTCAAATGTCATAATAATAGTCATAACATTAATTTTAAAATCTCCAGTTTCTCAATTTTCTTACCAGCGTTTTGTAATTATAATATGAAAGTTCATTACTGCCTATCCATGGAAACCAGAGGATACTGAATTGCTCATAATTTTTTGAATATATCATCTCATGCATGTCTGGCAAATAAGTTAGAAAATGCTTGACACATTGGGTTTAAAATCTGCTATTCAAGAGAACATGTGGCCCAGAAATCTGGCATCCAGCTGGCCGAAGGGAAGCATAAAAGCCTTTGGGGATACTAAATTCCTCCCCCAGTAATAAAAAATTATTTATGAAAATAAATGGTTATCCAAACCCAAGTGAAAATTTTGAACCAAGATTTATAAATTATGAAAAAACTGTGAAGGTAGCCAGCCAGCGCTTTCAAAAACTCCTCTCTCTGTTGCTAACTTGTAAGCTTGCTATATCAAAATCTAGAGTATGCAAATCATAAAAAGAAGTAAAAATAAAATAAAAATTTCTCCACATGAAGGTTTCCGTACAAGATCTGAGTAAGAGCCTGAAAAGAAAGCAGGAATTTGAAAATGCTGAAGTCTAACCAGCAAGGAAGTCTGTACACTAACGTAAGCAGCACCATATATGGAAAGTAAGAAGATAACTATAGGTCAAGAATTATTTTTTTAAAAATTGACTCAACTTAAATGGCCAAGCAAAAAAGAAAGAGGAGGAGGAGAAGAATTAATGGCTTCAATACTGAGTTAAAGAGAGCACTTACATTTATACAGAGGTGAATGGACTATCCATTAAAGCTGATGAAGTTCTATACTGTAGTAATCATGTTGTGTTCATCAATTGAAAATCATGTAAGTACACCTTATAGGGATGATAAGGAAATGAAGGTTAACATTCTATCATCTATATTACCAAGTACTGAATGACTTAAATGATTAAACTTGACTGCCATATATTTCCACATATTAATGAAGGAGACCAAAATGCCTTGATTCTATTGTAAATAACAGTATAATCCCACAAAAGACCATAAAGGTTCTCAGCATAATAGAAACTTCTTCAACTCATAAAGATGTAAGACTAAGCTTAAGTTCCCGGGGTCTGAATATGAATGGCATTATTAATCACATGTACTACTGAACAGCGGTTTAACTAAAAACATTCAAGGCACGATCAACAAAGCTGCTTCATATTAGTAATCACTGAAACAACACAATTTGGGTTATCAGGTTTGTCAAAAGTCAGATAAGATGCTTAGAAGGATAAGGATTTTGAGAATTCTAGAGTTGCAAGTAATCATGAAAGATCAAATTTAACTCATTACCATCAGGCAAGTAAATGAAGGACTCTAAACCATTCAGGGTAAATGGCTCATATTTAATCATTGAATGCATATTGACAGCAGTTCTCTATAATTTATCTCTCACAAATATATTCCCTGAACAAACATGTATTGAAGACTACCTTAGGGCCATATAACTAGATGACAAGATGTATTAATAAGCCACAGCCCCTCATGTTTACATTTTATTTTCAAAATTTCAAACAAATTTTTAAAGATAATCTTAGTGGACAGATTACATGAATGTAGGAATCCGTATGTTATATACACTTCATTTTTTAAAAACTAATGTTTAGGGCCACAAGGTTAATTATTTAGAGGCCAAGCAATATCATGAAGAACTCACCCATTCCTAACTATGTTCTTCAGGTGTCTTCCCATAATGTCTTAAGTTACAATTCTGTCTCTACCCCCCCCAAAAAATCCATGTGACTTTTCTACAGGTCAGCTGTTTCTCTCTCTCAGGAAAGGCCTCCTAAGCCTTTATTGCTGAAATATTTTCCACCTGATACCTTCTCTTCCTCATTCCCAATCACTCCTGCAATCACTACAATATGGCTTCCATCTACACCATTGTATTGAAACAGCCCTAGATTCAATGGAATTCAAGAATAACACTAATTTGATTTAAACATTACTAGAACCATATGTATATTTACTCTTACCTCCCCAAGCACAGTACCTAGACAACTAGGTTCTCAATAAGTACTGGCTGAGTTGAATATTATATAAATAATAAAGGTGGCAGTGCATATAACATAGTACTTACTCATTAAAAAATCTTTGAACTGTCAGTTGTGTATAAGCAAAAGTTTGTTTATTTACAAAAACTGATGTTTTACTTCATTCATTTTCCAAATATGTATTAAGTACTATGTACAAAATATTGGACATGGTTCCTCTTCTCATGGATTTCAAGAGTCTCAAAAACTATATTTTTGATGCCACACACTTAAATTTACATATATATATATTTTTTCATATAGAATTATGCAATGTACCTCCTTAGAAAGGAAAAAATCCCCATTGTTCTTCTAAAGCTAGCTTCTGAACTCCACCAAACAGAGGGATCACCAGGTTCTCAAAGCATTGTTCAAATAGAACTATCCACCATGATCCCATTATATCATAGTTGTGCACCTATTTCTGTGAACCAGTTTGGGGCAGGACTTATCCTGGTTCTGGCACTTAGTAGACTCTCAGTCCATTTGTTTTCATTGCATATATGAGAAAACTAGGGCCCAGAAAAGTAAAGAAAGGTTAGTGTTTTTTGTGGTGTATAGAAGGAGCTGTAGAATCACAAAACCTGAGTTTGAACCTTGGTCAAAATATTTAACCTCAGCATTTCAGTTTCCTAGCAGAATTAAATCATGTGACAAATGTGAAAACCCTTGGTGTGAAGTAAGCACTCAATAAACCCATGATCCCAGTTAATGACATGGATCTGGTGTTAGACATCATAGGTGGGTTGTTAGGAATTTAAAGACAATGAAAAATATAAACAAATTTGGTATTTATTTGATGTTTTAGATTTTACCTTAGCTAAACTGAACATTTAAATAAATTCAGTGTGGGAGAGTGCAAAGGACCTAGATGGGAAAAAGTAAAGAGCTTCCCTAGGAAAAGAAAACAGCTGATCTAACAGCATCCTTAGAGACTAGAGTAAAACTTACCCAGATATTAGTAATATCACTTAATTCATTAGGAAAAAAGTTTTATATAATCAAAATAAAGGTAGAGTGTTTCAAGGTGGCAAAAACAGAGTAAATGAAAGCAGTATCTTTTCAGATATTTAAGCAGAACCTTTTCCAGATCTTTATAAGGGAAACAATTTAAAATGAGAAACTCTAGAGATGAGCAAGAAAAAAAATAAAGGCAAGAAGTTGACTTGTTTACTGTTTCTTTAGAAGATTCTATTGGTGAAAACTATAGAGAGTCATGGAGATGTACATTTTAGCTCAACACAGTGAAGGGCTGGCTCTTCCACAGTGCAGTGAATAGCTTCACTAGGTAATACACTCCTCTTCACTTGGTTTCTACCACATTACATGGGAAGTTGGATTAGAAACATCAAAATCACCGTACACCACGAAGATGCCATGAGTCAGAAACTTTTTATTATAGTATCAGAAAGGAAGTGCATTGCTAACTTGTGTACTACATGCATAGCACTGCATTTTGGCTTTGAGTGACACAAAATGCATATATGAGACAGATTCTCTTCTCTCAGTGAGTTTATAATCTAGTTGGAGAGATAATCTCACATCCCCAAATTGTTAGAGGTGGCATATAATTAAGTTCTGAATCTCACTTGCTTTATAACCACAAACTCCAACAAAGATAGAAATGACAAACTGTGCCCTTTTAGAATACTCTCTCTTATTCAAAGGTAATATTTCTTATAAACCACAATGACTGTATCTATACAAATGAAAAAAATAGCCATTGCAGGGTTCCTGCTTACCTTCAATGTGAATATGAAAGTGTTACATCTACCAATGTCTCCCAAATGCAAAGCATTTGATACATTGATAACAGCAGGTCAAAAAATGCAGGAAAGAAAAAGAACGAACCTATACATTTTCATTATGCATAAAAATCTGTGCTTTTTATTGGTAGTTGAGTTGTTCAGTCATGAACTCAAGCAGACCTGAAACTGAGATGCATTCTCCACATTTTTGCTTTAATATGAACCTGAGTCACAGACTCACAATGTGGGAAATGATGATCTACAGACCAATCCTCACATGTTTCAGACAAGACAACAGAACTATAAAGATAAAGGACTTGGTCACAGTTACAAAGAGAGTTAGTGACACAGCCAGCACAAGAGGTATGATCTAATAACCAGAGTTGAACACTTTGTTGTACACATTCTACATCTTGGAGGCATTTTAATCTCTCTCCCTTTCTCTCTCTCTCTCCCCTTCCCTCCTTTCTCTTCTTTCTCTTCATATTTAAAATCTTAATTTTCATGGCATGAGAATACATGTGATCAAAATAAGCCACTATGTCTCTACTTAATACCATTCTATTTATTTGAATTGGAAGTTTAAATAAATGTTTTCAAAAGAAGAAACAGAGTAATGGCCTCCTTTCACAAAGAAGATCATAAAACTGCCAGGAATCTACTAAGGAAGTTAATAGATAATCTTTATTATTTGATACAGATTGGTTTTTTTAAAACAATCCAAGCATCAAAGTCCAAAAGAAAGCAGGAGTGAGAATGAGTGACAGAAGCTGGCAGCTAGCTGGTGGAAGAGACCAAAGGAAGATACAGGCACGAATCTATGTGTTTATATTATATTGCTGAAAACCAGTGCATGGGGGGAGGGATATGTGCACTTACTTGTGAGTGTGTGTGTGTGTGTGTGTGTGTGTGTGTGTGTGTGTTATTGGGAAAAGGGATAAAATCTTATGACTGATAATACTTCACTTGAAACCTAAGGAATTCAGACTTTAGTTATTTAGGACAATTGGAACTAGCAGCAGAAACAATTAACTAGGGCAGTAGAAGAGAAAGCTATAAGAGAAAAGCCTACAGAAAGCTATATATAAGCATATGGCCTACAGCTTCTTAAAACAAAGAATTTTGAAGTTATTAATAACAAAAGTTGGTGGGAAAAAGGTACTCATAATTATGCACTTTCATTTCTATAAATGCTGTTAAAACTGTGTATCAATCTGTCTATAATTGATAACTAAAAATTTATATTGACAATTTTAATAAAGAATTAATTTTCATTTAAAAAACCCCTGATTCAGTTGTGTACTATAAACCTATCCTCACTATTATCCACACATGGAAAGCCCAGATGGTTACAGTTTACAACCAGCCACCACCTAGTGGCAGCTAACAGAATTGCAAGCATAGTGGCTTGTCTACATGAGGCTAGTTTTGCAAGTATAGTTTAAGAAATAGATACCCCAGCCCAGCTGGTGCGGCTCAGTGTATGAGCATCGTTTCACACACCAAGAGGTCCCAATCTGACCAGGGCACATGCCGTGTTTCAGGCTCGATCCTCAGCAGGGGGTGTGTGGGAGGCAGCTAATCAATGACTCATCATTGATGTTTCTCTCTCTCCCTCTCCCTTCCTCTCTCTGAAATCAATAAAAACATATTTTAAAAAAAGAAACGGGTACCCCATAAAATGTCACCAAATAACAAACCATGCCTTTACAAGGACTGTTTTTATTACTTTGCTGGTATTTAAAATATATACAGATATTACAGCTGAATTTATTGCATTGCAGTTCCTATCAATAAATAAAATTTAGAAAATGAGTGGATTTCTCATCCATAATCAATCAAAGAAACATAATAATAAATTTAACAAAAATTCAGCCATCACTCTACCTAAAAGAGGTTGGGCTAATTTTTTTAAGATATAAGAAGAGAATAATGTGGCATGAGATTATTAACACAAATAATAGATGCATGAGAAAAATAGCTTTTCTTCATGAGTTTTATGAAAAGATACTACTGTTTGAAATCAGTAGATCATATAAAATAGGTACA